TACTTGAAATTGTGAAGGGACGTCTTGAACACCTTGCAGAACCGCCGCCTCAAGCCAAGATAAAATACGCCTTACGACACGGTGTCAAGCACATGCTGGAAGCATTAGAGACAGAAAGCGCTCAAATGGAAGAATTAGTTCAAGGGTACGTGACAGATCTCGAACTCGTTTATGCCAAGCTACGTACAGAGGACACTGATGTGCTTAAGGATCTTGTTCTTGTGCAAGAACATCCTAACTCAAGGGAATTAAGCGAAGAAATCCACAATACGATTGAAAGCCTTTTACTACAATTCAAGAGAAACCCTAAGTTGCTTCGAGATACTCCTGGGATGATTTTCCAAAACTTACTCAATGAAGGAGGATCAGCGCTTTATCAACAGGTGTCTGATACTCTTTTGAGTTCCCATCCAGAAATACCATATATGGAGCTGTTGGACAAAAATGGTCATCAAGGCCCTGTTGTTGGTCGTTTTTTCTGCTCTGACAAAGTGGTTTGCTTTGATGTTTCCCCAGAAAAAAAACTCTTGGTAAGCGAATGTCGTGATGGACAGACGTCGTTATGGTCACTTGAGACTGGAAAGCGGCTATGGGAAAAAGCTTTATTAAAATCGATTAAGTCGTACAATGAAGTTCCTATTGGAAGTGCTTTTCGACAGACGTGCGAAGACAATGAGACTGGGAAAAGGACTTTGTCGTTTTACCTTTCCACTGTCTTCCATCCAGACGGTTGTTCCATTTTGCCAGGAAACTTGGCCAAAGTTTACAGCTTAGATGGAGAACCGAAGTCACTCTTTCCAGGGAGCAAATGTCATTTCAATGTTTGCTATTTCTCACGTAACAAAACTAGGATGTTAACTGATTGTCCAGAAGACGCCCATCAAGTGGTCATGTGGAACACCAAGAATGGTGAGGAGATCAAACGCTTCGAGAGCGAAGAAACCATAGCTTCTTTTGCTATTTCTCAAGATGGAAGTCGTGTTGCGATCTGCAATACAAGTGGCTTACTCTGGTTACAAGCTGTTGAAGATTCCAGCTGGAAGAAAGCACCTCCAAACATTTTTGGTGAAGGTAACCCCTGTGGACTGTTACATTTTACAGAAGCGGGAGTTCTTGTCGGTGGTAGTATCCAACATGAGCTGTCTGATCACCGAGATAAGTACAAACTTTCGGTGCCAGCGCTTCAGTCACAATCATCTTGTGTCCTGTGGCCGTGGGAATCGGTTAATTACTTGACGATGCTTGATATTACTCGTCCCCTACAAGACGAAGAGATGCCACGGACAGCACAAACTGCGTTTTCTGCAGACAACGGTAGCACGCGCTTGTACACAACTATCGCCATTTGCAACCATTCGGCAGAAATGGAAACGGATGAGTCACGCTTGGTGACATTTACTATGCGGGACGCAAACAATGCCAGGGAAGTGAAGCAGGAAAAGTCCTTCTAACACAGTTTACGTCGTGTCAAGAATGGAGTCCTGACTGTAATTGTTACATACAATGGTGAGAC